AACCTTCAGTAACCCCTCTCGCGCTCAACTGCCTAACAATAACTAACCGCTCTCACCACTATTTCCCACCTTAAAATGAGTCCAACCCAAACCATCACAACAAAACCACTCAACCATTCATTCATATACCGGCAACCCCCAACATTACCCAGCATCTCGACATCATAATATCAACATAAGGACAAAAACACACCTCCACTCAACCCAGCCTTGATTAGATGCGACATATACGCTCCTATCCGTTACCCCTTCCTTAGTTTTATACTACAATAACACACGCCGCCCCAGATATTGCAGGCACTATCTCAAACACAACACCACAATTGCATGCTATCGAAAAACTGTGACTCGACATATACGTGTACGTTCGCAATACCTTGATGCTTAAAATGGCGTTTCGTCTGAATATTGCAGATTTTCACCCATTAATTGATAAATAATCAAAGTGAAGCAATTACGTCACACACCAGATCAGATTTCTTAAAACCACAAAACCACCACCAACTTACACGAACAACCTGAATAATTTTAAGTAGGAACAAAGATTCATCAGTAAATTGGACTATATTTGAGACCCAGCTATATAAATATTTTCCATTCCTTTTTTGAAAACCCATGTTCGCATAACCATTTGGGCTCAAACTTGCTCTCATTAATTTCCAAGAACCATTCCACCCTTCAGAAAAAAAAAAACACATATCAGATGAGTATTTCAGGATAAAAATTGACAGATCACACAGAAGCAAAGGACTCAGACCAAACACAAAAACCACCGCAAACCACCAGAATCATTCTGATCATCCACTAACCCAATACAAAAAACACAAACTCTGCCGGAAAAAACACCCCCCAAACCTCCATCCCGATGGAGCACGAAACTCAGTGAACCCTCACCTCGAGGAGGATACCCTGAGCGCAGCCCACTCTTCCAGCCACCATCTCACACACACGAGACCACAAACAGCCCAGACCCTGATCCTATTCATTACTCAAACGCGCCAACTCACTGTGTGTCTCTGTACAGCCCATGCCTTGACCATCTCACTTCAAAATCAGCCCTACTACCTACACTCAACTGCTCATACATTATCAACCATAGACTGACAGTGCACCACCTGCATCCACAGACTCGACCCCGAACGAGAAACCCAACCACACAGCACCCCCCAACACAACCACACACTACAAACCCACAAACCAAAAACAACACCACAAAACGTCATCAACTTACTGTTCTTCGGTTCTTCGCACATCCTCATACCAGTCTTATTTATTAATTGAATCCTAGTTATTATAAAACGAAGAAAACGCAGATAATTCAATAAGACCGTCCAAGCAAGAAAAACAGGACTTGTGAAATTGGAAAATACACCACACACCACACACAACACACACACACAACACTCAACACATCACATCACATCATCAAATCAAAATAGCAAAAAACAACTTATTTCAAATAGCAAGGCACCCCTTGCAAAAACAGTAAAAAAAAAGTTGATGAAATTTTGACTACGGCCATGCCTTAAAAATAGAACTGGGCACAACACAAAAACAACGTAATACCCAATAAGTGGTGAACTAATACACTATGAAAACATTAATAGAACTTAACAAATAAACAATACCTTAACATAAAACCAAAAAAATCAAGCCACATCAAATCCCACGTAAAATATCTAAGATACTTTAAGATAAACACACAAAAACCACCATGAACCTACGGAGAACTCAAAAACATGCGCGTCTTTGAAATGAGTTATATCAATCGCGGACAGTATACATTACTAATGCCGGTAAGGAACTTGCAGTAGGTATATGTGCGTAGACTAGCCATTTTAGGCTACATTAAGGAAACAAAATGCAAAACAGAATAACCTTTGGCAAGTTGAGCTTCAAGTCATTGAAGGCACAGGCCAAAAAAATAGGCAATGAAAAAAATTTTAAAAATGGAATGGTAGAAAAATGTGCCCAGGAACCCCTAAGGGTTAAGTTAGCTAATGTTAGCTAAACTAGCTAGATAATTTCAGTAGTAAAAAACAAAAACAAAAACAAAAACTTAGTTGTTGGCTAGGTAGTTACATCTGAAAGATAATGTTACATCAAAAGTTAGTTGGCAAATGTTTTGCTGACATAAGCTAACTTAAGATGTGACTATCGTTTAACCATCTTCAAAATGTGGTTGTCATTTCAAAATAGATTAGGCTAGCACATAGCATATGTAAGTACAGGAAAGTAGGTTGACCAAGTCTTAATTCATCATTATATCCCCCAACCCTAAACCAGGTATATTACTGGCACAGCTGTGGAAATTAGAGGGCCGGTTCATCCAAATTTCAAGACTCATTTTCACACTTCTGTTTTCATTGAAAAATGACACAAATTAAACTGCAACATTTCTTATCAGAAACATTGGCTAATCCACAGAACTCACTGTAAAAACTGTAGACTGAGTCCTGACTGTAATCTGTGACCTTTTATTTTCACAGGCAAGATGTGACCGAGGATGACCTACGGCTGCTCTTCTCCAACGCTGGAGGCACTGTGAAAGCATTCAAGTTCTTCCAGTACGTAGACCTATCCCACGGTAAAATCAGTGTCATAAACTTGCTGGAGGTGGCCTGATAAGAGTTCCATCTTGGAACACTTGGTGCCTCTTGCTGTAGTTCAGCATTCTGTTTGTGTTGTACCCCAGCAGAGATCATTCCCTGCGCCGCTCACTGCTGTGTGATGTTTTCCAGGGATCGTAAAATGGCTCTGATCCAGATGTCAACAGTGGAGGAGGCCATCCAGGCCTTGATTGACCTCCACAACTACAACATGGGAGGCAACCAGCACTTGAGAGTCTCCTTCTCCAAGTCCACCATCTAAACTACTGACAGTGCCACGGTCTACTGTCAGAAACCTTTCGAGACTGTGTCTGGACACTGGGGAGCAGGGGGGACCACATTGATTGAATCAGTTCTGTTGTTCGGGTTTTGTTGATCCTGTCATTCCTTGAGAGAGACTGAAACCTTTGACTTGCATCCTTTTTTAAAGAGAACAATTGAGTATGTTGCAGATACTGGATCCTCCCAGCTATTCTTACCTGTACCTCTGTATTTTCTATGTCAAACAAAACATTGACATGAACGATTGTCCCCCTGTATGATAACTTGATGTAGATCAGTGTTTAATTCTTGATTTAGTTGAAAAGATACAGTAATTATGTGCCTTACTTGACAATATCAACTGTTTCTACAGCTGGACATGTTCATTAATTACCCTCGTATGCTTTTGAGGCACATGGATATTTTTGGAGGTCGGTGAGAGTCATTATTACAGTTTTTGAAGTCAACCAAGCGTAGCTTTTTTTGTTGTGTTTTAAGAGTTTTAGATTCATGACACTTTTCCTTTTGAGTTCAGGAGAGGATATTCTTGAGGCAACATGTAAGTTTCTACAGCAGCCTGCGACAGGCAGTTTAACTTGAATTCCATTATTCCACAAGTTACGTTTCAGTGCTAGGTTGTTCTGCCCCAGCTTGATTTCACACACCGTCACATATCCCAATGTGGCTCGTGGCTTAAGTATTTCTTTATCTGTGTTTTTTGAAGCCTTTCTCCCCCCCACCCCCCATAGCAGTGAGGTGTAATTGTCAGTGACAATGTTTGTTTTTTTTTCTAAGCATGTATAGCTGTGATAGGACGTCACATCAGAAAGTGTTGCATGCTGTGGAAGCAGTTTGAAGATTGAGTCCACTGTGATTTTATTTTCATGTGACAGTTTACTCGAGAGGGCTACTCAGTTGGACCAAAGTTTCTGTGCCTTTAGTGTTCCTTTAATTAATTTTAACAAGAAAAAAACAAGCATTTGAAAATACTGAAATGACACATTTCAGGGAAGAATGCACAGAATTTTAAGTGTCAAGTTTATTCCCATTTCTTATATACCCGACCTCTTGACCCCGAGGTGCTCAGAAATAATAGTTCTGTATATTTTTTTCTTCCAAGTCCAATTTTATACAGCTCAAAATGTAAGGATTTGGTATAGGTCTGAAGAGGCACAATTAAAGGCTGAATTATTTTCTAACAAAAGGGAGGTGTGACTTGGTTTCCTGCTTTTTTTTTTTTTAGTTTTCCCTCATGGTCTCTCTCGTGTATTCTGCATTACTTCTGTAGCATGCCTAATAAAACTGTTCTGTAGCTCTGCGTTCACCTCCTCCTGTCTCTCTTCTTTCTCTGTTCTGTCTGCTCCCGCTCACTTCTGAAACCATCTTCAGTCCCAGGGTGGGAAGGAAGCCAAAATTCATTTTGGAGCCACTTGAAAACAAGCTCCAGATTGAGCTCTCTGATGGTACTAATTCACAAGACAAGAAGTACATTTTGTTGATGCGTTTCCCACCCTGCCAACTGACACAATCTATTCCTTTGATGTCTTGCTCTCCTCTTCTCTGGTAGTTGCCTATTTTCTAATCAGTCTCTGAGGGCCTCTGCACTCCTAACAATCTATCTGATCTATCTACTTGCACTCACACCTTTTTATCAATTACATAAATGGTCTTAGTTGTCGTTCTTCCGAGCGCTATGTGTTTTCCTGCCAGCTTTGGAGCGTCTTTGAGTAAAACTGCTACGTACGCAAGCATGATCATTAGGACCCACTAGGGCTGGGCGATATGGCTTAAAAATAAAATCTCAGATTTTTTCACACCAAACCCAATTTACGATTTTAATAGATTTTTT